GGCGCACCCTCTTTGTCCAGCTGGGGAACTTGGCCTTCATCTCGGCCTTGGGATCATCTGCAAGCAGGTTCACATGGCCAACCCATTCCAGCACATCTGCAACTTCGGGAGCAAAAGCTGGATCCTTAGGGTCCTCGGCTGGCCTTGCACGACGACCTCTGCCACGGCCCCCGGAACCTCTGCCACGGCCCCCGCAACCTCTGCCACGGCCCCCGGAAGGGGCAGCTTCAGCCTCTGCCTTGGCTTTTGAAGCCTTCTTGGGCACTGCTTTGGCCTTCGATTTGGCCTTCGCCTTGGCCTTCGCCTTGGCCTTCGACTTGGGCGCTGCTTTGGCCTTCGATTTGGCCTTTGCAGCGGCCTTCACTTTGGCTTTGGCACTGGCCGTCTGCCCACGCTCAGGCTTAGCCTTCTTCGTCTTTTTCTCCGGCTCCTTCGGCTCGGCCTCGTCGCCTGAGCAGGCCTCGTCGTCCCAGGCCTCGTCGTCCCAGGCCTCGTCGTCCCAGGCCTCCTCGTCCCAGGCCTCCTCGTCCCAGGCCTCTTTGTCCCAGGCCTCATCGGGGGCCTCACCCTCATGCTCGGCCTTCTTGGCCTTTCTCGCATGCTTGGCCTTAGCCGACCGCAACCTCTTGAGCCCAGACTTGGATCTCCCCCGCTTCGGCACTGACTTGGGCTTGCTGCCGTCGCCATACAGCTTCTTCCTGTTGGCATCCTTGTTTGCCGCGCGCATTCCCAGCTGCTCGCGGCGTAGAAGTGCCTTTGGGAGAAACCACGCAATACAACTTGTGGTCGATAGATAGCACCATGCATGTGTATGTAAATATATATATATATATACATGCGTACACACACACACACCTCTACGAGTACACATACAGTGCCCAAGACCCCGGACCTTGATTAGAAATGCATGTACGTCCTTAATTATATACTTGCTATAGACCCCAAAACCCTGATCAACAGTCGATGGTGGTTATAAGTTTCAGGGTTTGAGATTTGGGAAACTAGGAAGACTTTACCATCCTCAACGTAAAGACATGAAATAGTTGTCCCTGCTGGCAGGCTACGGGCTCTGCTAGAGGCTCCTCCGGCTCTCCTGCAGCAGGCGGGGCATCGGCAAGGGGTTCCATCACCTCTTTGCTCGGATCGGTAAGGGCTTCCATCACCTGTGTGCTCGGAAGTCGATGCTGGTATTCCTCCCGCAAAATTTGTGCAGACACACGCATGGCATTCTCACCCACAGGGGCAAGGCCAGCTGATGACCCGTAACCCGAGCCCTCCGGATTCTCGCAGGCCATGATGTCAATCGGCTGCGTGTCAGCCGTGTCAACACCTAGGATCGAAGGCAGCAGGAGTAGTTTATAATGGGCTCATAAGGCTTATATAGGGCTAGGCTTATTTTAGGGTTTATAAGGTTTATATAGGGTTTATAGAGGGCGTATATATAAATGAAGAAATAAATAAATAAATATATATATATATATAGGCTTTATTATTGGGCTGGTTATTTCATGTGTGAATGCATGCGTTCATTTTGATTGCATCACCCTGCATGCATGGTCTCATGTGGCACACACACAGAGAGACTGATCGCTTAAACAAGACAGGCCGGGCTGCTTGCTGTTTCATGCAGAGCTCCCTCAGGCGGCGGAATCTCCTGGAAGAGCTGCTTCGGCGTGGCCAGCGAGGTCGGCTTCATCTCACGAAGCCTGAGCCAGGATTCCCAAAGCTATCGCTGTCATAAACGAAGTTTCGACCCGTCAAGTCAATCTTAGCAGACAACCGGTTGTTAATTCAGAGACATGACTGCTGTAGCCGAGCATGGACTGCATTGATCTTAGACTGCAGCCGCACTGCATCCAGAGTCTTGTCCCCGGAATGAGGCGAACCTTGATAGCAGTCAGTATCCATGCAAGTAGTAGATCATATTAGAATCATATTGTACTGCATTACACTACTATGAATTTCATAAACTAACAATAACAGTGTATAACAACATGATATTGATGTTATAATAAGCTAGATATATAAAATATATATGGCTTATATATATATATATATATGTACAATTAAATTTTAATCAATTTACTACAGGGATTTATAGACATACACACCCCCGAAAAGCTCACTTCTACATCTCCATACATTGCATCACAGCATCGGTTTGGCACGCGTGCAGGAGGTGTATGGATCGTAGACACGGTGGACTCTGGAGTACTCGGGCTGTGTGTCGGTGTGGCAACCATGGATCCCCCAATTGCGACTGCTGGCATTGCTGGCACCATCTGGGCTGGAAGTGCTGCTGCTGCTGTCGGCATCGAAGGTGGAACCACCATGACGTTAGGAGGAGCTGCTGCTGCTGCTGCTGGCATGGCTGGTGGGACCACTGGGGATGGAAGTGCTCGTGCTGGTGCTGCTGTCGGCATTGAAGGTGGAGCCACCGGGACATGAGGAGGAGCTGCTGCTCGTGCTGGTGGCATTGCTGCTGGGACCACGGGGGATGGAAGTGCTGCTGCTGCTGGTGCTGCCGTCGGCATTGAAGGTGGAGCCACCGGGACATGAGGAGGAGCTGCTGCTGGTGCTGGTGGCATTGCTGCTGGGACCAGGGGGGATGGAAGTGCTGCTGCTGCTGCTGTTGGCATTGAAGGTCGAGCCACTGGGACGTGATGAGGAGCTGCTGCTGCTGGTGGCATCACTGATGGGACCACGGGGGATGGAAGTGCTGGTGCTGCTGTCGGCATTGAAGGTGGAGCCATCGGAACATGATGCGGAGTTGCTGCTGCTGCTGCTGATAGCATTTCTGATGCGACCTCGGGGGATGGAAGTGCTGCGGCCATTGCAGGGGGGGCATGTGTGGCTGGAAGTGCTGGGGCTGCCGGCATGGCTGCTGCGACCGGTGGGGCTGCATGCACTGCTGGTGCTTCTACTGGCGTTGCCGGTGCTGTGGATGCTGGTGAAGGTGCTGGCTCATCTTGCTGCTCATCTCCTGACGCTCCCACCTGCATCGCAAGATGTCCATTTACTTATTCATGTGTGTATATGTATATATAGAGATTTTTACACGATGTATACTAACCCTAAAATTGAACTGCATATCATATGTATATATGTATATATATATATATAACAATATTATACTAGCTAGCTTTATAGAGTTTTAAGTATTGATACATATCTCCCGTATTTATGATTCTTAAGTCCATATAAACCCAGCCTATAACTACGTAAACTGAAGCCCGACCGAAACCCTGGACATACGGCACCACCTCTGGAGGCTGCAGCCGAGCGCGGATGAGCTCCACATCGGCCTGATCGCATGGCAAGTGTGCTAACTTCTACATAGTAAATGTGCACACCCACATACATAATTAGTTAGGATATATTTTTATATACATACCTACATACGATACTGGCTAGCTTACCGTGGTGTTGGACGGGATTTGGGATTCAGGTCATACTCGTAACTCACGAACAATTGACGGGTTCAAAAAATATTCAGCTCGCACAAGTGCATCCAAAGAGATGTTAAGATGCTTGATCTCTGATAACACAAAAGAGCCGCCTCCAATGCCGGGTTGAGAATCATGCACATGTCTTGGAAGTCCCACACCTCGGATGCGATTGATGCTTAGATTATAACTTGCTAGGTATATCTAGTTCAGACCTGCTTAAGTAACTAGAACTAAAGTTATGGTGTGAATTATGCTAGCTAACATATGTTCCAAGTGTGGAAGCCCCTCCGATCAAACTTGTATGTACATATATTGCGAAATGCAAGTCTAGGTAAGTTTTGGATCAACCCATTTATACTTTTGATCGAATAAAGCTCCGATTTCATTTAGGTTACTGCAGTCAAAAAGCAGTGCTCACCTCCCTTCTTGCAGCTTTCCGCTTCGTAAACGTAAGCAGTTTCCTCAACTCCCAAGCCCAATCATCAACGCTGCTATCAGCAGCACCTCGCTGATGTGCTTGAAGAACTCCGGCGATTTGTTCACGCAGACCATCAATCTCCGGACGACGGTGCTGACAGGCAACTGAACGTATCAATAAAGGCGTCAGCGTATCTTGATTCATCACACATCGGGCCACTGAAAACTCACCCAAAGTGCCCTTCACAAGGTCCCCTCCGTCCCGTAAAGAAGCACGAATGGATTCCACAGCATCCCATTCCTGGCACAAGCCCGCACAATCAAAACGCTGCTGGTCATCCATGATGACAGCAATGGACAAGAAACTAGCTGCGCTAGAAAATCTAAGCCAAACGGCCTTCATCGGACCATAAACTTTTGGAACTCTTGCCCCCAGAAACAGTCAGAGCATTGCAGAATCATCGATTGCTGAGATCCGGGCCATGCGAACAGGACCTCCAATGCTCGACGGCCTTCTAAAAAAGGCCTCCTCGAGCCTCTAAGCAGGCTTCGGCCTCTTGCACATCAGCTTCTGAAGCTTTATAAACTTATGCAAATCCCCTTCAAATCCTTATATGTCCCTATAAAAGCAGGTATTAGCTAAAAACCGGGTTTCTTAGTAAGGAACCAGGTATTTAAGAATATAGCTCTAATAACCAGGTTTCAAGATCAAAACCCGCTTTAAAGCAGGTTATGGAAGTTGTAGGTAAGCCCCAAACCCACAGGATGCCTCCCTAAGGGTCCATGTGCCCAACTCGTATATACTTTGACCCCAAGCAAAGTACCTATGTAGGGACTACTTTAGGGTTTAGGGCTTAGGGTTTAGGGCCGAAGTAAGTAACCCTAAACCCTAAACCGTACGATTATTCCACGCGTTCCAGACCTCAAACTCAACAGCGAAACTCCCAAATCGAGAGCAGGGTTTGCTAACTGCAAGCCTTGACAAGGGCAAGGGGGTAAGTTTTGGGCTCAGGGTTTAGGAGTTGGGGTTTAGGGTTTAGGGTTCAGGGGTTTAGGAGTTGGGGTTGAGGGTGCAGGGAAAACTCAGAATTGAATTCAACCCCAAGCCTCAAGCTCAACATCTGGGTAAGGCACGTGTTGGCCACGCATCCATACCTTGAGCATGTTGACGTGTGTCTAGCACTGACACCGTTGATCTTGCTATTGAGCCGGGGAGACTACATGGTGACCGTAAAGAATAAGAGGTACTGATTAGCATAGCGGCTCGTTCAATAATGTGAATAAGAATGTTCTCACAACCCTTCCATCGGCACTGGCTATTCGCGGTACCGTAAGAATAAGAAGAGCTGTAGTCATAATGTAGTCTGAGGCAGCTCTTGTAAACCCTAGACCCGAGGTGAGGGGAGAACCTTCAGTGCGCATATTTTTGCAATATAAACTTTGGCCTTAAAGGGGTTCCTCGATATGTAATTTAAGGCAAAGTATATACTAAATTCCGTCTCGACCTCTTTACTGTTGCCTTGCAGATGCCTGTGGCGATTTAAATACACAGTCAAAGAGAGGGACCACAACGTCGAGCCCTGGCAAGGCTGAGGACCATGCACCGACGAAACCATGCAGTCTGGGTATTAGGCGCTAGGGCAAGCTGATCTTTAGTCCTGAAACCTACAGTCGGCTCCTAGTACCCAGAGAACTCAAGACCCCTTAAGTGAGGAATTTACATTAAATCATAATATGAAGGGTTCATTAAGGTACGGTATATTCCTTAATTAAGGAGTATTGGGCTTTCTGGATACTCGCTGCCCCTGCGTCTCATGAGAAGGAACCAATTCTCGGACCCTAAACCCTAAACCCTGTTCTCGGACCCTAAACCCTAAACCCTGAAACGTCAAGATTTGTGCAGCCGGTGCGCTCTGCCGAAGTCGACAGGCAACGCCCAGAGAAGTGCTCGTAAGTCTGCCTCGGCTTTGAAGTAACCGGACTATCTTGGGGGTTCCTTACTATAATTATAGTATTGAGTCCCACGTATATGTAGGGGCCTTAAGGATTACCACTACTGTGCTATCTTGGGGGTTCCGGGGAGAAAACAGAACTTTAAACGTTAATTTCAACATGGCTCCTTCTAGGAACATGTCACCCCCCCCCCCCCCCCCCC